ATGTGTCTACAGCTAGACCAAAGGAAATGGTGCAGTACCTATCTGAAGAGCTTATGACTGTACCTGCAAAGGTTTTAAACAAGGCAACATTCAGCCTGTTTGCAATTGCATTTTATGCTCCTGATGTCCAGAGTAGAGCTGTAGTCTTAAATGAGTCATTGGAGCAGAGGAAAGAGTGAAAAGTCATGCCACTGCAATGAAGGGGAGATGAAGCTACTCTGTAAGGAACAGGAGGGTCCTTTACACATCTGCTTCAGGTCTATAGGGAGCTGCAGATGTGAAATCAGGATTCATAAACCTTTCACACACAGCCTATTTCTTAGCATATTCATTCAAGAAAGCATAAGACCGGGTCCTAAACCTCCATGCCATCCTTGGAGCGGGAGAAAGGTGCAAACAGCTCTGCTTGGTGAAACTGGGCTTTGCTGGCAGCTACAACCTCCGACCCACAGTTTGGATATTGAGCTGCAAAAAAAGTACCTCCCACCCATGACTGTTACATTAGACTTGTTAGAGCCCAGGGGAGCCAGCTGAGTAAATAACAGGACACCTGGATTCCTCACAAAGGATTATAACCTAGCCAAGGAGTCTTGTGCCTTGTTTTGCACAGTAGCCATGTTTGACAGAAGCAGAGCCCAACTTCTGCAGTACATCTGCACTCTCACATCAATTGCATCTTCACAGGGACAGTTGATGAACCCTCAGGAGCACGGATGCAAAGCTGACTCTGTGAATATAGTAACCCATTTGATTGTCATATTAAAGGAGAGAGGGAAAAGGCCTCTACTGGCTTCCAGACAGGACTGCCAGGGCTGGAGTATTTCTTGCCAAGCTCAGCACTATCAGCCATTTTTTACCAGCTTATAGTCTTCTGGACTCTCCTATGGGACTGGGACTCATTTCCCAGCTGCTCCAGCCAATGAGCCGTCTTCATTTGGAGCTCAGATGCCTTTATACAAACACCCGTAGCATGGGGAACAAACAAGAGGAATTAGAGATGTGTGCACATCTACAGGGGTATGATATAACAGGCATCACAGAAACATGGTGGGATGGCTCCTATGATTGGAGTGTTGGAGTAAAAAGTTACAGGCTCTTTAGGAAAGACAAGCCTGGCAGGCAGGGAGGGGGAGTTGCCCTTTATGTTAGGGGTAGGCTGGAGAGTATGGAACTCTGTCTGGGGACAGGTGAGCAGTCAACAGAGAGTTTGTGGGTCAGGGTTAAAGGGAGAACGGCTATGGGAGACATTACTGTGGGGATCTGTTACAGACCACCTGATCAAGGAGAACCTGCGGATGAAGCACTCCATAGACAGATAGGAAAAGCCTCACTCTCGCAGGCCCTTGTTCTCATGGGTGACTTCAACCACCCTGACACCTGTTGGAAGGATGGTACGGCCCGGCACAAGCAATCCAGGAGGTTCCTCGATTGTATGGAAGACAACTTCCTTCTGCAAGTAATAGAGGAGCTGACAAGGAGAGGTGCCATGCTTGACCTCATGCTCACCAACAGGGAAGGGCTGGTTGGAAATGTGATGTTCCAGGGCAGCCTTGGATGCAGCGATCATGAGATGCTCGAATTTGAGATCCTCAGGACAGTGAGAAGAGCGTGCAGCAAGCTCACTGCCCTGGACTTCAAAAGAGCAGACTTTGGCCTCTTCAGGAGCCTGCTTAGTAAGGTTCCATGGGATATAGCCCTAGAGGGCAGGGGGGCCCAAGACTGTTGGTTGATATTCAAGGATCACCTGCTACAAGCTCAGGAGTGTTGCATCCCAACCAGAAGGAAGTGCAGCAGAAGGGCCAGGAGACCTCCTTGGATGGATAAGGAGCTCCTGAGGACAATTCAAAGGAAAAAAGAGGCTTATAATAAGTGGAAGCAAGGACAGGTGGCATGGAAAGAGTACAGGGATGTTGTCCAAGAAGATAGGGACCAGGTTAGGAAAGCTAAGGCTCAGTTGGAATTAAACTCAGCTAGAGGTATTAAAGATAACAGGAAGGGATTCTACAAGTACATAGCAAATAAAAAACAGACTAGGGAGAATGTAGGCCCCCTCAGGAAGCTCTCGGGAGAACTAGTGACACAGGATTTGGAGAAGGCTGAGGTTCTGAATGACTTCTTTGCCTCGGTCTTCACTGGCAAAGGCTCTGACCAAACCACCCAAGTCTTGGAAGGCAGATGCAGGGACTGTGAGAATGAAGACCTTGTGCCCACTGTAGGAGAGGAACTGGTTCGAGACTGTCTTAAAAATCTGACCATGCACAAGTCCATGGGACCTGATGAGATCCATTCGTGGGTCCTGAAGGAGATGGTGAATGAAGTTGCGAAGCCGCTGTCCATCATATTTGAGAAATCATGGCAGTCAGGTGAAGTTCCCGACGACTGGAAAAAGGGAAATATAACCCCCATTTTCAAGAAGGGGAAAATGGATGACCCAGGGAATTACAGACCAGTCAGTCTCACCTCTGTGCCTGGCAAAATCTTGGAGCAGATTCTCCTGGAAGGCGTGCTAAGGCACATGAAAAACAACAGGGTGCTGGGTGACAGCCAGCATGGCTTCACTAAGGGGAAATCGTGCCTGACCAATTTGGTGGCCTCTATGATGAGGCTATGGAACTGATGGACAGGGGTAGAGCAGTTGATGTCATCTACCTGGACTTGTGCAAAGCGTTTGACACTGTCCCACACAACATCCTTGTCTCTAAATTGGAGAGACATCAATTTGATAGGTGGAGCACTCGGTGGATAAAGAACTGGCTGGATGGCCGCATGCAAAGAGTTGTGGTCAATGGCTCAATGTCCAGCTGGAGACCAGTAACGAGTGGTGTTCCTCAGGGATCGGTGTTGGGACCGGTCTTGTTTAACATCTTTTTTTCGCTGACATGGACAATGGGATTGAGTGCGCCCTCAGCAAGTTTGCCAATGACACCAAGCTGTGTGGTTGGGTTGATACACTGGAGGGAAGGAATGCCATCCAGAGGGACCTTGACATGCTTGTGAGGTGGGCTGATGCCAACCTCATGAAGTTTAACCATGACAAGTGCAAGGTCCTACACCTGGGTGGGAGCAATCCCAGGCACAGCTACAGGTTGGGCAGAGAAGAGATTCAGAGCAGCGCTGTGGAGAAGGACTTGGGGGTGTTGGTTGATGAGAAAATGACCATGAGCCGGCTTCAGTGTGCACTCGCAGCCCAGAAAGCCAACCGTATCCTGGGCTGCATCAAAAGGAGTGTGACCAGCAGGTCGAAGGAGGTGATCCTGCCCCTCTACTCTGCTCTCGTGAGACCTCACCTGGAGTATTGTGTGCAGTTCTGGTGTCCTCAACATAAAAAGGACATGGAACTGTTGGAACAAGTCCAGAGGAGGGCCACGAGGACGAGCAGGGGACTGGAGCACCTCCCGTATGAAGACAGGCTGAGGAAGTTGGGGCTGTTCAGCCTGGAGAAGAGAAGGCTGCATGGAGACCTCATAGCAGCCTTCCAGTATCTGAAGGGGGCCTATAGGGATGCTAGAGAGGGACTCTTCATTAGAGACTGTAGTGACAGGACAAGGGTTAATGGGTTAAAACTTAAACAGGGGAAGTTTAGGTTGGATATAAGAAGGAAGTTCTTTACTGTAAGGGTGGTGAGGCACTGGAATAGGTTGCCCAGGGAAGTTGTGAATGCTCCATCCCTGGCAGTGCTCAAGACCAGGTTGGACAAGACCTTGGGTGATATGATTTAGCGTAAGGTGTCCCTGCCCACCGCAGGGGGGTTGGAACTATTTGATATTAAGGTCCTTTCCAACCCTAACAATTCTATGATTCTATGTGGGCATCAGCCTGGCTGCTCCATTCTGCTGTGACAGCTGTTGGTCTGCACTCAGCTGGGAGCAAAACTGGTTCCAAAGGAGCTTACTGTGAAAAACTTTCTGTAACAGTTTCTTAATGATCTGGATGTTCTTTGGTGCGCGCTCCAAGACTCACTTTTATAAGGTTTTGACCCCTCAAGAGATTGGTACATGTCAGCTGAGCTGATATGTATAACTTTTACTATATATGTAATATATATATATAGGTATATAAATGTATATATATGTATATAAGTATAATATAACATGTCTAATATAACTCTTCCTGTGTTTGCACTCCCCTGGGATCCCCATGGGTTAGTGGTGCCGCAGATAGAGCTGAGCTATGGGTGCATGCTGCAGCTCGTGTGGACGCTCCGGAAACCACTGGTGCTCAGTGACACTCGCACCTCTCTGAGATCTCACTGCATACTGCCTGAGCCTGCCTGTGTAAATCCATTGCCCTCTACATGATGTAAATGTGCAGTATATTTCAGGATGAGCAAGGGATCACTCAGCTGACATACTGACAACCATAAGTCTCAAAAAAAAATGGCAGTAGGCTTTGTGTAAGGTGGCAAATTGAAGAGTTGGCTACTTCTTCATCAGTGTCCTGGCAGCAGATGTAAAAGGCAGAAACGGTGCCTTTACTGCTTTGCTTTACTGAACTGCTTCATCTAGGACACTTGCTTGGGACAGGCTGCTAGGGTTAACTGTTACACCCACCTCCTGAAAAATGAGCATGACATCAGAGTGACTTCAATTTTTATAAATATCCATTGCCAATTTGATTAACATGTCAGCACAGACCTGGAGTTAAAACGGAAGGGGATTAAATATTACTCCTTCCTCGTCAGGCTGGCATAATTCCCCCTCTACATGTAAAACTTCACACTTTACATTTTTCACTAGTATCTACCATCGCAAGCATTAGAATTTGTCTCTTTTAATCCTGCATCCTGCAAAACACTGTAATTGCATGTGTTTGCGAGCCACCCTCTGCAAATGGAAAGTGCGCACTGAAAAAGTATGCAAGCAGAGGACCCCAGAAATACACACTGCAAAAGCTGCTAGTTTACCAAAAAGACCCTCTTGGGTCTGCCTTCCCCTGCCCTCCCCTGCCGTTGCTACCTTGCAGTTTATGACATCCAGACAGTGGGAGGTCTGACAAACCGAACAAGGCAGTGAGCAAGAAATTCCATTCCTGTTGAAATCAGTAATTCCTCTGTGCAGGCTGGTTTTTTTTTTGTGTGTGTGTGCTTCTGTGTCACTTCGAGAAGGGCTCTGATATTATTATTACTTTAAATATAGCTTGCCCTGGGGCGGGGAAATGCACAAGGAAGGAGTCGGCAAGCAGCCTATCTCTCAGAAGAAAAGAGCAAGCCTCACAGCACAGGAACTGGCTTCACTCAAGTGTGCAGTTTAGAAGTCAAGAAAACTATTCCAAATACCACCATCTTGGAGGAGACTGAAGAAAAAGGACACAAAACTGGCTAAACACAGTGAAGAACATGCTAAATCAGGGTACAAAGTGCACCTAACTGCAGTCTGAGAGTGGGCTCTGAAGTACAATGTAAGTCTTCCTTAAATTGTATTTTTTTATCATAGTATCTAGTTGTTTAATTTCCATTCTGAAGCCAGGCTGGGCCAAAAGGTACAATTAGCTATAAAGATCAGAGTGGAGCAGAATGTGTAATCTCTGATATGAGGCTGAAAATGATACTGAAATACAAAAGAAGTCAGAGACTTATTATGACCATATTATGGAAGATGAACTATAAATAAGAGCATATCTAATTATTTCAAGAGAAAGATGCTGGATGGAATCTTTAATCAACTTTCTTAATAGGGAAGTGAGAGCTCTGCTGCTTTGTATGGCAAGCTATTTTAATACTGCTGTATTTAAAACTGGGTGATTACAGTTACCAATAGCAATAAGATGTAGCTCCAGAGGGGAGTCCTAGTGGCTGCAAAAGTTTTTGTTTCTTATTTCTCCAACATTTTTGCTCTCTGAAGCCTCAAGTCCACAATTTCTGTCCTACAGCTTGGTTTTGCTTTTCAGCTGGATTTTCAATGTATGCCAACAATGGACTTCCCATGGAACTGAGAACAAAACATTTCAGCTTTTGGAGTAATTCTGGTACGTTTTTCTACATCATGCTAGTGGCAAAAGGTTGTGCTCCTTCAACTTCTGGCATGGACAACTGAGGAATATAAAGCCTGATGGTGACAAGGGGTGAAAATTTCCCGTTTTCCACTATTTATCTCACCAGTTTCAGACTTAGCAATGGATATTCTTCCTGATGAGGAGAGCTCTGTGAACCCAACTACAAATTCCCTAATACAAATAAATCATGAGAGAAGACTCTACAGAAATGTTTATGGAGCTGGAGAGATTAATATATCACATCTCTTTAACTTGACTGTGGACTCTGAAAACCTAACCAATCTTTCTTGTGAAAGCAACATGAGTCCATCGTGCCACCCTTCCCTGTTTCAGCTTTCACAGAAAAACTGGCCAGCTTTGCTGACAGTGATGGTGATTGTTTTAACCATTGCTGGGAATATTCTTGTCATCATGGCTGTGTCACTGGAGAAAAAACTACAGAACGCTACTAACTATTTTCTAATGTCACTCGCAATAGCTGATATGCTGCTGGGTTTCCTTGTCATGCCTGTGTCAATGTTAACCATACTTTATGGTGAGTATTAGCTGTGTAACCTATTGCATGTTTCAAGAAGCTTTAAACATTGCATGCACATGTTGTTATTACTTCATTCTCTTACAACAAAATATTGTAATCACTCTATACAAGTTGAAATATATATAATCGGTTAATGGATGCAAGAATAGGTGAAGTACTTGTATCTTTTCCTACTTTATATTTCTAGTTATAGGCATTTTAAACACAGTCCAAAACATTAGTTTATTACTCAGATATTCTCTCTATTCTTTCAGTTTTAACCCTGGCTTGTAATTTTCAATATTCCTAATGAGAATGTAGGTTCCTGCCGCTTACTTTGCTCTGCAAATATGCACAGAAGCACTAATAACTACCTTTAGATTCAAAGTAGGCAACCCCTTCAATTTCTTTAAATGAAGTTATACAAATGTAAATAATTCTCTTAACACCAACATCCTGCTTAGACATCTACTTAGCAGCAAATGCTGGAATAAATATTGTAGGAGTTTAAAAAATGGATGGGAATTAATTCTAGTTTTTAGTCACATTTACAACTGCAAAGCTAAGATTTCTTAAGAGAAGTTATTTAAGAATTAAGTGAATAATGACTCACAGTTCATACCCTTGCAGGTGATTAATAGCAGATCTTCCTTCTCATTTTCACCAAAATTATTTGCAGCAGAGCTCACATAGAAAAAAAGCAGCAGCTTATGTGTTCAGTGCCAATACTACCAGGCTGTTATAATCCCTAAACTTAGAGAAATGAGTTTTCCAGTGCCACAACTGAATTGCTACAGTTCAAGGAGAAGCCAGACAACGCCAGGAGGAAAGTGAGGTTGTTTACAAAGCTTCTATTGCCTCACTATTTTGGGACTAACGGTCCACACGAGCCTGTGACTTGAGAGATTCCATCCAGAAAACTGGAAGTTTATTTCCCAGTTTCAGTATTTCTACACAGATTGTCTTCAGCAGCATTGGCAAACAGCATTTTGCATTGGTGATGCAAAATTGTGAGTTATTGTATGACTGATGCAATTATCTTTGGTGGGAAAAACAGCACAAAACAGAGCTGCTGGAGCAGAAATCGTCCGATGTGTGAGATGAGCAAACCCTTTAAAATCCTGTGTGATTCCCTGCGACATGCAACAGGGACTCCTGCTGGCCAAGCTCTGTGCTGTGGAAAAGAGCCCCCAAAATCCGCGGCTCGGAAGTGATTCAGGTCGGGATGCAGGATATCCTGCACACAGTGGAGATTAAACCGCTGTGGAGGAATGCTGCTTTCCCCTCCTTTGCAATCACTGGTGTGGAGGAGCGGCAGGTACCTAAAGCCATAGGGGAGGGGGTGTGTTATCTTTGCTTTTTCCCTTTCAAGGTTAAGGAGAGGAGGTCTTTGCAGGGTAGCTTGGGGTGAGAAATCATCTGGTGGTGCACACAGCTACCAGAAGAATCACCTCATCACAGTGCACCATCAATCTCCAAGGACAACCAGTGATGGCACAGAGTGAAACCTCCCTTTACACAGGACCATTTGCTCAACCTCAGCCACCCAACTTCAGCCAGGCCACTTACATTGACAGTCCTGAGCCCAAGATAGGGGTCTTTGCACATACCTTGCTCTGCTGAGGCACCTCCAAGGCTGTGGAACAAGGGTGCTCCACCACCCATTGTCCAGCCCCTTGAAGGGCAATTGTAACTGTTTTTCTCAGAAGAGAGATGATTTTCTTCTTGAGAGCTTTACAGCTGTTGTGGGCAATTCCTGTTCAGCTGCCCAGCCACATCAGCCACGTGCCTGTCCCAGCCTGCACCCTTTGGGCCAGGAAGAAGGGTTCTCCATCCACTCAACAGCAGCACCCTTTGATGGAAAAAGACACTCAGCAAGTGCTACCAAGCTCTGCCACAGAACAGAAAACTCACAAAGATGAACAACAGTGCTGGTTCCCACCCCAAAACACATAGGCTGCTAGATCCCTGTTGCTCCTGCCTCAGAGGCTCATCCCACATTGTGGAGTGGCAGCAATGGCATGGATCAGCTGTCAGGATTATTGGCAGATGGTGCGTAACTCCTTGCTGCAGTGGAAGGACCAGTCATTTAAGAGGGCTCCTGTCCACCCCAGTGCTGACCCCAGATACAGTCTCAGCTGGTGTGCTTCGGATAAAGCAGACAGTTGCTCCTCAGCAATTGCCCATGGCTACAGACTCTCCTCTCTTCTTTCCTCACAGCAGTTCCTTAGCCTTTCACTCAAAACAGTTTTCTTGCACCTCCTGTTACCAACAGAACAGCAGCCCAACCATCCTGGCCAGCTTGGCTTTTTTGCCTCCTCACCTGAAAGGCCTTGTGAGAAAACATCTCTCCTGGTTGCTACTCTCTTGCTACATCAGAAAGAAAATCTTATCTCATCCTAGGGGCTATCTGCCCTCCCTGTAAGTCTCTCAATGTGAAAATGAAGAGGTGCACAAGCATCGCTTCCTTATCCCTTGGATGCTACTGCCTCATATGAGCTCCTGGAGTGCAGGAGCTCCCATGGACCATATGAAATTATGGAACTTGACCTGCCTACCCAATCTTTAAATTGCAGCCAGTTTTTTGTCTTGTTTCCCCCTGGATATGTTAAGGGGTGAATTTGACAGTGGCCAAAGCATGGCACAAGGCAGAGGTACCCTGTGCCATGCTCCACATAAAAAGTCCACATAATGTGTGCCACATAAAATGGGTGCTGTTTTATCCCTGCCACATCCGTGTTTAGAGCAAGGACAAGACATCTAGAAGGATATGACAAATTTGGTCCCAAAGGCCACTGAAGCAAAAGAACAGATGCACGTTGTCAAGTGTAAAAATACTTTATCGCTTTTCCCTTTGTAAACTGTCCTGTCCTGACAGAGAGCAGACATGCCTCTGAAAGCCAGTGCCCACATAACACATTCCAGAGACCAGATTCCCCACTGGAAGATCAGAAAACAAGATAAAACATACCCATAAATATTGTATGGCTTGTCAAGGTCAGCTCATATTACAGCAGTCCAAGAGCACCAAGAAATAGGTCTCCTCAGTGCTTACTGAGACTAAATTTAATTAGGCACAGACCTAGCTCCTCTGCCTTTTCCTCTCTCCCAGCTGTTGCAAATCTTGTACTGCATCTCCAAAGGGGTCAGGCAGTCACAAAAATACTAGTGTGTTCTCATAATACCAGGTTTGGCATTGCCCAATGCTGCACTGCCATGGACAGCTTGAGTAATATACCCCAAATTAAATCACCACAAGATAAGGACACGTATAACTGTAAAACTTGCTCCAAGGAGAGTTCTTACCCATTCCCTGAAGGATTAAAAGGGCCTTTGGACGAAGGTCCTGAAGGGCTTTGTTTAGCCTGGGTCTGCTCAGTACTGCTGCTAGCAGCTTGTGTAGTGAACAGAGTGTGACTTCCACAGCTTTCCAAAAGCTCCAAGCTGGAAGAGGTTACAGGCAGTCAGAGGTACTGGCTCAGAATCACCAACAAGCATCTGGATCCCTGAAGAGAAAGTCAAATGGGCAAACAACATTCAGTGAGGATAAATGCAAGAATACCAACTTAGGAAAACAATAGCAAACCAACTACTGATGGGGAAATTTGCCCAGCTTTCAGGAATGCTGAACAGGATCATAAGCTATGCATACATCAGTAGTATGATATTTTTATACAAAAGGCACTCATCATTCCAGGTTTTGTAAGTAAGAACATTCCCTGCAAGACCTGTGAAGCAGTCTTGTATTTCACTTAGCAGCTGGGAGGCCTTTGCAAGAATAGCAAGACCTGTTTTGGTCACTGAATGATAAGCAAGATATGGATAAATTAAATAGACTCCAGGGCAGAGAAACAAGAAGCACAAAAATTTTAAAAGCATTGTCTGTAAGCAAAAGATAAAGGAATTGTTTTTGCTTAGTCTGGATGAGTTAAAAACCCAAACAACTAGGCAAGACACGATAGCCATCTTCCAATAGTTTCTGGAAAGGAGAGCCATCAATTATTCTTCATGGCTATTGGAAAGAACAAGGATAAGGGGGAGGCTTAATTTGCAGCAAAGAAGATAGAGGCTGGATATTGGTAAACATTAATGTGTTTGCTTTGGATTGCTCTTTCTGAAGGAGTCTATCAATATTCATTGATAGAGAGCATATCCTTATTTAAGTACGTGGCAGTTGCCTAAAAACAGTCAAGATAAATATCACTGGTATACAACAAAATACATTTCTTTCTTCAGCTGCCACTAAATCTAAAGTTTCAGGTTCAGAATTTAGGCAGCTGCGCATATCAGCAGGTGTTAATAATGCAGTAATTACATAGATAAAAAGTCCTAAAACAAAATTGAGAACTTACAGAATTTACACGTTTACAATGGCAAAATTGCTTCTCTTTCCATAGATTTGCTGCCAGAGATGGTTAACTAGAACATCAAGCACTAGTGTTATGCAAATAGAATTAAAAAGAAACAAACTTACACTGCCTGTGGCCTGGGAAAGGAGGAGAGTCCTAAAAGCTACAGAGTTAGAAGGTTGCAAGCAAATGAAAAAGGCTTCTTAAAACAGTGGCAGGCAGGTTCTATTGAATGGATCACTTACTACTGTCTCCTTCTAGAAGGATACATGCAAAGAGACATATGTGTCACAACGAAAGATGTATGCCACATCCTTAGCTCATGTCAACTTTCTCTTGTGCAGGATACACATGGCCTCTGCCTACAAAGCTCTGTGCTGTCTGGATCTACTTGGACGTACTTTTCTCCACTGCCTCCATCATGCATCTCTGTGCCATCTCACTGGATCGCTATATTGCCATTCGAAACCCCATCCATCACAGCCGGTTTAACTCAAGAACTAAGGCTTTTGCAAAAATAATTGCTGTTTGGACCATATCAGTTGGTAAGTGAGGCAATATTTCAGCATGTAATTGCAGATTTCTGCCCTTTCAGAGGATGTGACATATACGCTGCAATCTAAAACTGTATTCTCTGCCTGCAATATTTTGCGTGCCTAAGTGCTGTACCATAGTAATTATGCAATGGAAATCAACAGCGGGACATGGAGGAGAATATATATTAGTGACAGGACTACTGAGTTCAAGTTGTTGCAAAGATGTGTTTATTTCCCATACGGATCATCATCTTAACATCTAAAGAGAAAAAATTATCTCAACTTAAAAAAAAATTTTCCTGGTTTATGTAAGTTGGTTGGTCCCTATTTCTCATAATTTGCTTAGAGATGGTTCTTACCGGCAGATCTTTTCTGCCTTTGTTGGTGTGTATAATGGGTCCTGTATAGGTCCTGTTTAGGAGTCAATAGACACTCTGTATACACTGTAAATAAGAGGAGTTTCTCCACAGGACAGTTCAGAGTTACAGTCTAAAATAGGTGCCCTGAATGATTCACTGGATAAATCTCTTTTTTTGCACTAGCAAAACCCAGAGGCTCAAACTAGGCATAGGAATGTCGCTGTTTCATTCCCACGGTGACAGCACCCTGGGTCCAGAGCAGTCTCACGGCACCAGGAATTTCCTGCCCCCCTCCCTCTCTCCCCCCTCCCCAGCACTGGCATCTCACTTATTCAGAAGTAGGAAAAAATCACTCTTTTGCTGAGTGTTGCCTGCAATGAAAGGTAATTAGCTGCTTCCCTGGCTAATACACATTATTTCAAGTGGTAACTGTAATCCATTACTGTTCTTCTGAGGGGAAAGAAAGGAGATGACATCTAACACTTCTGCCTGCCTGAGTCTCTGAATTGTCTCCTGGCCTTCCTCTTGGTCCTGGCTCACAGGCTGAGCAAAAACAGTCTAAGATTTTTATGACTTAAAATAGCTGTATCTTCTGCTGCACAGCAAGAAATAGTGGGAGCCCTCTCACAACAAGAGGACAGTTCTGCATCCTCTAAGACCTGGTGAGGTTCAGCAGCATCACGTGTGGCTCTGGGATACATTCAGCTGATCAGATATAGATGTCTAGCACAGGCCATGTGAACTCCACCCTAAAAATACCTATCTTTCAACTAGAAAGGAAGCCTAAAGCAACTCAGATGTGGATGTCTTCATTTAGATTAGATGAATCATACCTTGTATGTCTACAGTCACATTTTCATCAATCCACTAGAAAACTCTGTGCAGTTTTTCCAATTTCGGACACTGCTAAGTGCAAGCATTTTCAGTGCATTCTCCATATAACATAAAAAGGGCAAGCATTCCTCTAATTTGTACACACTGTGCTTTTCTGTATTTGTGTGTGGTGCCCGTGCTTAGTGTGTGTTGAACTACTGTTCTTTGTAAACACAAATAAATTCACAGAATGGTCAGAATGACCATTCAAGGGGCAAACTGGTGGTCCGTGCCACTCAGCCTCTTTCCTTAGATAAGGGCTCACTGCTGGAGTATCTGAATTAAAATGAAACCAGAAAAAAATATTGTTTAAGCCTTATTAGTTACAGCATGGATTATGTCCTGTAGCAGGAGGATTTAGTTCTTTGATATCTTGCTATAAAATTTCAGAAGTTAGGACTATTCTTTGCAGTAGTAACTAATAACAACTTGCCTTTCGTAAAAATACTTTTTCTGCTCTCTGGAGAATTTTCTTATAACAGTGATCAGATGAACCGCAGATGTTATTTGTTACCACTATGGCAGGTGATAGGAACATGGTCCCTATTTATATAACTCTGAAAAATACAGTTCCTTATTTTACTGAAAAGCACTGAAGTGTGCCATGACTTAAGAGGACAGAGCCCCGCTCTACTGCAGCTGGATGAGGACACATGTAAGAGAACATTGGATCGGCAAAATAGGTGGGCTGATAGGGTAAATTCCACCTCACTCACACATCAACTGTCATCAAAACAGTGAGCAGGTTAAATAGACATAAATTAATGCAGGCAAGCACACTGAGGTGTGCAGGAATGAAGTGGTGCTGGGCTGGTTTGCTAGTCCCATGGGAGCAAGGGGAATGGGGAGACAAGCTGAAGGAAGATGTGTCTGTTCCCAGCCTGGGAGCTGGGTCATGAAAGCAAATGTGATGTGCTCCAGAGGACAAATTGGGAAGCAAACACACAACAAGCTGTAAGGAAGCTGCTGAGCTAGTTACAGCCAGGCTGTATTGAATTTGCACCATGGCATATTGCTATACTAATAAAATAAAGAAAAATGCCAGTATTATAAGGAACTTTCATAGATACCAGATCACCCATGCAACTTGCTGTCAGTCAGTCTTCAACCCTGTCCTGATCTCCTACCATTCAACTCAGAATAGGCAGGAAATGGTTTCTGAAGAGTGAGGTGTTTTCTATGACATTTACAAATAGGAAATGCTTTCTGAGCTAAGAGGTGCTCTGTCTATCATTTACCAGTCTCCAGGCTCTCAATGATACTTAGAGTGTCAGGGATATAAATTATTTAACTCTTTGCATTTTCCCATAGCTATAGCTGGCACGGGCAGAGCAGGTATCTGGCTCAACACTCAGTAGCACACATTGTGGCTGCCAACGCATTGACAAATTCAGAGAGGGGAATTGTTTCTCAAGGTTTTGCCCCCCAGTATCAGTTAGATAGCCTTTGGCTTCCCCTTGCTCCTGCAGTCTGCAGCTGAGCTGGTACCCTGTGAACTGTCATGGTGTATGAGATGGAGGGTAAAAAGCAAGAGAAAGAAATGAAGGACATTATGTTGCCCTACGTTGAGGTTCATTTTACCAGGGGGAGAGGGGGGAACCTTCTGATCAGAGACCCTCAATAGTTCCCTCACTGTCAAAGTCCTTAGTCCATCTTCTTACACAGCCCCTTTCGATGATTGTTTTACTAGGCTGAATCCAAATCTATTTAGGCTCTGTGCAGTAGTATCCTATGCCATTGTGGTTTAATCCCAAACAGCAACTAAGTACCACACAGTTGCTTACTCATTCCCCTACCCCATCCCCATGGGATGGGGAGGAGAATTGGAAAAGGTAAAACCTGTTGGTTGAGATAAGAGCAATTTAATATTTGAAATAAAGTTAATAAGGATAAGAAAATAAGAGTAAGAATAAAGAGAGGAATAAAAATCAAGATAAAAAGCCAAGTGATGCACAATACAGTTGTTCACCACCCACTGACTGAAGTCCATCTCATCCCTGAGCAGTGATCAGCCCCTCATGGCCCTCACCCCAGCAGTGTGCCCAGGCAGCCAAGAAGGCCAATGGCATCCTGGCCTGTATCAGAAACAGTGTGACCAGCAGAGTCAGGGCAGTGATCATTCCCCTGTACTGGCACTGGTGAGGCAACACCTCGAATCCTGTGTTCAGTTCTGGGCCCCTCACTGCAAGAAAGACATTTGGGTGCTGGAGAGGGTCCAGAGAAGAGCAAAGAAGCTGGTGAAGGGTCTGGAGCACAAGTGTGATGAGGAATGGCTGAAGGAACTGGGGGTGTTTGGTCTGGAGAACAGAAGGCTCAGGGGGGACCCTATCACTCTCTGCAAGTATCTGAAAGGAGGATTGAGCTTGGAGGTGGCTGGTCTCTTCTCCCGCATAACAACTGACAAGAAAAGAGGAAACAGACTCAAACTGCAACAGGGGAGGTTTAGATGGGATACTAGGAAAAATTTCTTCACTGAAAGGGTGCTCAGGCATTGGAACAGGCTGCCCAGGGAAGTGGTAGAGTTACTGTCCCTGGAAGTGCTCAAAAACTGTGTAGGTGAGGCACTTAGTGACATGGTTTGGTTGTGGACTTGGCAGTCCTGGGGTAACAGTTGGGTTTGATGTTCTACGATTCTAACTTCCCCCCCCCCCCTTTATATATTGACCATGATGCTCTATAATATGGAACATCCCTTTGTCCCACTTGGGTCAGCCATCCTGGCTGTGCTCCCTCCCAACTTCCTGTGCCTCTCCTCATTGGGAGAGCATGAGAGACTGAAAAGTTGTTGGTCAGTAAACACTACTTAGTAACAACTAAAACATTGGTGTGTTATCAGCATTATTCCCATATTAAAACCAAAACACAGCACTGTGCCTGCTGCCAAGAAGAAAATTAACTCTATCTCAGATGAAACTGGGACATGTGCCCAGGTCATCTTTTACTTTTCTCTGAATCTATATACACAGGTGGCCAGACCACAACATTCAGGAGATGAACACGCCATGAACTCATGTGGTGTGGTAATATTTTCTGCTTTGTTATAAATTCCCACTTTGATAAATCCTACCTTTCTTTTAGTCTTTCAGATCATTCCCACACACTGAGCTCAAGGATGCTCAGCTCAGTGACTCCAAAATCAAGGAATCATAGAATGATTTGGGTTGGAAGTGGCCTTTAAAGACCACCTAGTTCCAATGACCTTGCAATGGGCAAGGAATCTTTCACTGGCTCAAGTTGCTCAAAGCCCCATTCAACATGATATAGAACATTTCCAATGGCAGGGCATCCACAGCTTCTCTGAGTAAACTCTGCCAGCATCTCACCACCCTCATTGAAAAAAACTTTCTTCCTTCTGTCCAACCTAAATCTACCCTCTTTCAGTTTAAGATCATTTTCCCTTGTCCTGTCACTACAGGACTTGACAAAAATTCCCTCTCCATCCTTCTTATAAGCCCCCTTTACATATCGAAAGGCCACAGTAAACTCTCCCAGAGCCTTCTCTTCTCCAGACTGAAGAACCCCAATTCTGTCAGCCTTTCTTCGTAGGAGAGGTGCTCCAGGCCTCTGACAATTTTTGTGGCACTCCTCTCTTTCCTGAGTAATAGCAAATAGTTTTGCATTCCTAAATAGGGTTACCCCCCAAACACTGTACAATTTCATCTGCTACTTTGCTATCCATTAGCTGAGATTGATGACGACCTTCTGCAATTCTCTACAGCCAACAGCCATGTGTTACCAGCACATTTTATTCAGTGCTATTGGCCATGCAAACAGGTC